AGCGGGGTCGTTGCTGGATGGGGCTTCTGGAATGACTCGGGCTGATCCCACATCGAGGCACAGGGGGCTTCCCTGTGCTGCTTCCCGAGGTCTCCACAGCATCGAGGGTTGGCTCAAGGAAGCCCCAGGGACGCAGGGCAGCGGATGGTGCCCTGTCCCATGCGGTCCGTTCTGCTTTCTTTGGCAAAACCCGCCCCAGAGTGAAGTGGGAGCAGAAGTGGATCCACCGAGACACCTTTTCAGACTAGAAATGCGTTTTGTCCAGGTAACTCTTGCACCTCTGCCTGCTTGCGAGGCAAATGCTGCGCAGAATCCCTTGGGCAAACCCTTTGCCTGGGGCGAGAGGAAGCTGAGTGGCTTTAATCCTCTGCCTAGTGTCTAGCGCGACATTCATGTGTGTTCGTCGCTCTGGTGTCTGCACCATTGTGCACAGACTTTCAATTAGCGAGGGGTCTGGTTTTGGTTTTGGGGGGATTTTTTGTTGTTCTTTTTTTTCGCCATAGAAAACTCTCTCTTCTTGCATGAAACCCTTTCATGCCGCCTGCGTGTTTTATTCTTGTGCGCAATGTGGCACAAGCAGCGTTCTGTTGTACTCGCAGGAAAGAAGGCAGTCTGCAAGGGAAGTGCTTAATTTAATAAATTGCAGATTTTCGGTACATGGGATATTTGTTCCAACAGTGGGTTTTGCACTGCCCAAAATTTCAGTTTCAATTAACTTAATTGTATTCAATAGGCTGAATAGGAGGCTCTGAGGCAGTGTGTGAGTCAGGCTTGCAGAATGCGCGCTCGCAGGAGGCGCTGCGGGCTCCGCGTCCTGCCCGCTCTCCCGGCAGGCTCCGGCGCGGAGCTCCGGCTCCGTGTCGCATGGACGGTGGCGCTCGGTGGCTGCAGGTGGCCGGGCTTCCTCCGCCTCCCTTTCCCCCTGTGCATCCACATCCACATTCCACGTGCACAGCCTGTCTTCCCTAATAAGAAGAGATACCATAATAAAAAGGAGGCTTTATTAAACTAATACAATAAAGGCATTTTCTTGGAGGATTTAAGCACTTCATTTTTAATAATAAAAATCAAATTGTCATTGTTGCACCCTATATAAGTTTTATTCAAATCAGCCTCTAAATGCTTCGTGCCTAAGCAGCTCTCTCCTGAGATGTATGTGTTTTAGCATTAGTTAAATGAGTTTAAGCACGAGGCTCGTACTCGAGCTGCAGGCAGCGAATCTAGGGATCGGGAACTTTTCCTTTGAGTGAGACACTGATACGTTCAGCTGCTCCGAAAGGGACAGGAACCAGGTGGTCTCCCGTTTACGCTCACGTGAGAGCAGTTCAAGGCTCTGGGTGCTGGCGTTCACGCAAAGCAACAGCAGCCGGGGTGGCCCCCGGAGCCGCGTGCGGACACAGCCCTGCGCACTGGGAGCCGTGACGGGATGGTGCTGAGGTGCTCGGATTGGCTAAGCACGCAGGTTGCCGCTCATTGCCAAACCCATCTTGCTTGGCCAGGGTGAAGCGGATGCATTGCCAGGCTAGGTGTTCCTCGGGGATGCCCAGCACTCCTGCTTTGTGCCCTGGCTAGAAGTAGGAAGAGGTGCAAGGAAAGGAAAGCAGCGAAGGTTTCAAAATGAGCCTGAGTCCAAGGAGTCTTGCAGGTACCTTGTGAATGCACCTCAGTCAGGCTTGAAGACGAAACTGAGGGTGCTGAAGCCCAGAGTACAAGCAAGGAGGGGGTGCGGATGCTATGGTGAAGACCTGCCGTGGCATGAGAGGAAAACAGCGCAGGAGGAATTGCTTTATTTCCTGGAAGGGCTGGAGTGAGTGGTGCAAAGCTCCCTGGTGGGCCGGCCTCCACTAAACCCGATGTCTGGCAAAATCACGTTGGCTGTTGTATGGTGCACGCAAGGTCACTGGTCTCCAGCCCGTGAGATGCTGAGCTCGAATAAGTACCCACATGTCCTGGGCTTGTTCTGTGTCGCATCGATACCTGGTGGGAAGCAGTGCACACTGTGTTTGAGAGCAGGGCTTATGAGAACTTCTATTTGGGCTTTAAGTATTACATAGGAGCAGCATTTTTCTAGTATTTCAGCATTTTTCTCTGTGGCTTTTGGCAACAGCTGAAGTATGGAGAGTCACAAATAAACTGAAAATATGAAAAAAGTACTTATGCTCTTTTAGTCGCTCATATATGTGTAGCCTCCTTGTACAGAACATAAAGACTGAGGTTCAGCAAGTTAGTTGGGCTTATTTGTGTTTTTGCTCGGGCCAGTGATGGTGCAAAGGCTGCTCGGAGCCTCTGGCCTTGGCAGTGCTCGCGTGCGCGCGGGCAGCGGCTCCCACCCGCGCGGGCTGCCTGGGTGCGCGGGCGTTCCTGCTGCTTCACGTCCCTCCTCCTCCGCAGGCGCCGCGCAGCAGGTCCGGCGCAGCCTCCTCGCCTCGCTCCAGGCTGCCTTTGAAACGCGTGGGCTGCAAAACTGCCCTTGTCTCGGTCACTACCCCGGGGATCTCCCTCACGAGGCAGCTCGGGAGGCGGGGGGAAGCAGAGGGAAGGGCTTCGCCTGCCGTCTGGGCGCCTTGGGCGCAGCCTCTGCGCGGGCCTCAGGGCTCAGCCGGGCAGGCCCCAGCTGGGTGCCAGCCTGAGGAACGTCCGCTCTGCCTCGCAGCGCCGTGTCTCGCAGGAGCTGCTTGGGAAGGTTCCTTGCCCTGGAAGCTTAGCCTGGAGATCCCGTAGGTGCTAAAGACATGAGTCCTTGGCAGCATTCACAGAGCAGCCCCTTGAGGCAGTGCCCATGTGTGCTCATTTGTTTTTGAAGGACTAGATTACAGCTTGCTTGCAAAAAGCGCCGTCAAAATCCCTCCTCTTCTAAATGGCCTCCAAAGACCTCTTTATTTTGACAGAACATGCGCTCCCGTCTCCACCTCTGGTTGTTTCTTTTCAATCTCCTGCAGTTGCAGCCAGTCACTGAAGGTGTGGAGAGGGTTTGGAGCCAGTTTCAGTGTAGGCTGGGGTGCCGTGCACCTCACTGCTCCACTGGGCCCGCATTACGTTAAACTGTTCATCGGTTGCCTCCTCAGCAACTGGCTTAGAAAGGACATTCAAGAGGGGAGAAAGGAGCAAAACCATTATAAAGCTCCTCTTCCTGAAATGCATTCAGTACACACGATCCGTTTGGTCATTTAAAATCAGTCTGAAACTTTCTAGTCCCTGGGGATCTTCTTTTAGGTTTGCAGAGTTAGTTACTCGGCCAACTACCCGTTTTTGTTTTTTTTTTTTTTTTTCTTTAATATGGGAGATGTATGGAAGTTGGAATGAGCTAATTTAGCCAGTGGAGTTTTATAACAAATGTACAAATGCTGTGGGTTTTCTTCCCTCAGCCCCTCCAGCAGAAACCTAATTGCAGAACTGAAACCAGTCCTTGGCTGGCTTGAGGGTTTTCTCAAAAATAGAAACCGTGGGGTTTGTCTGGCCGGGCCAGTTTCCTCCCCGCACACCTGGTGTGTATCACTTTAAAAAATAAATTATGCCTCATTAAATTACAATTAAATGAAATCATGATCATTTGTTTTTTGAGAAGGAAGATGTTTTGCATATTGAAAGCCTAATTTGTTGCAGGTGACAAAAAGGCTGAGCAGATTATTTAATATCACTGTGTGTTTTATACCGCTGCTCACTGCATCTTCTCCAGTAGCCCAGAGTTACATTATTGTAAATGTTATTGCTCTCAGGATGCTTCCTTCGACTGCACTCCCTGTTGCTCGCCCATCCCTGCGCTGCCGTTCGCCGGGCGCTGTGGGAGGACGTGCGGCTCTCGCTCCCGTCGCCTTCCTCACCGTGCGGCGGCCGTCCCCATGCCCGTGCGGCACCGCGCTGCTCCCTCCGCAGCTGCAACACTGGTAGCCTTCAGGTTCCCCTTTGCCAAGCCAAACCCAGGAGGAATTTTTAAAATCATATATTTTTTTTCAAACAGCAGAGCTAATGCATCCCTTAAAAAAGTCAAAAATAGACATTTGGGGAGTCTCTGGAGCATCTCTCCAGCGGGGACTGTGGAGCTCATTCCGAGGGGAGGTCTCCCAGATGCGCCTCGACGCACGTGTCGGGGAGCAGACGCTGCCGCATGGTTTGTTAAGATCCTCAGCAAATACGATCAAGAAACACTAAAACCGTGTGCACTTGGTCAGTAGTCAACTGTCCTGCTGGTGTGTTAGCAAGGCTTCTTGGGGACTCGCTAGCACAGAGGGAAGTAAGCCAGGATGAAATTTTGAAGGGGGTTGGCTCTGTGCTGGGTTTCTCCTTGGGAAGCTGCCATGCCCGCCGGGAGGGTGCGAATACCTTGGGGCCGGGGTGCTCCCTCTCAGCCCCTTTGAACAGGCTACCTCCTGGCATGAGGGTTTTCCCAAAAACCAGGGCAGTGTCGTGTTCATTCCCCATCCCCATGCGAGACCTGGCATATTTTTAATGAGACACGAACAAGTTAAGTCCCCCAAAGTAGATCCTACAGCTTTGTGATTTGCTGCAGTTCTCTCCTCGCAGAAATGACTGTCCAGACCACAATGAACAGGCTCTAATATCAAAATGTAGTGAAACATTTTTCTTTATAAACCTCCTGCACTGCTTAAATGTCGAAACTAAATTTACCAACCCTGGCAGATGTATCGAAGATGAACAGGACTGCCAAGTGTTCCCAGCTCCAAGCAGAGAGAGAAAGACATCTAACAGCTCCTAAAATATTTGCAGCCAGCACCTGGTGGTGGCTGCACTTTCTTCTCCCCGATGCCCCAGCCTTCCCGTCCAGTGTCACCATGCTCAGATGGTTCTTACAGGGCCACAACAGGACAGTCCCAAAATAGCCCCCAGCCCCACAAAGACTTTCCTACAAAATATCCCCTCTGGGAGAGCCTATGAGATTCTGATGTCAGGTCTCAGTATTGCAACCCAGCTGGTTACACCAAGCAAGTTAAAAGAAAGACAACCAACCACACTTTTTTTTTTTTTTCTACTTTTTGAACCAGGGCTTACTGTCAGAGATCCTGCGTAAGGAAGAAGATCCTCGGACAGCTTCCCAATCCCTCCTGGTAAACTTGAGGGCAATGCAGAATTTCCTCAACCTGCCTGACTCGGAGCGGGATCGTATCTATCAGGACGAGAGGGAGAGAAGTATGAACCCCAACGTGAGCATGGTGTCGTCGGCAGCCAGCAGCCCGAGCTCCTCCAGAACCCCCCAGGTAAGGCACGGGCCCTCTTCCCCTGTGCTCTGCCGATTAGGCTAGGGGCCCGGCTCCTCTCAGCACGTGTGTGGTGCGAAGTTCTTCTCAAAGGTTTTGGAGTGGCTGTGGCGTTTGGGGGATTTCAACAAAACCTCATGACGACTCTAGCTGTGATCAGTACCATAAATGCAAAGGAGCCTGTTGGTGACAGTACACCAAAGAATGCCCGTGGACTGTGCACACCCGCTGCTGGTAAATGCCTGCCCGGTGGCTGTTAGCAAACGTTTCCTGGAAAGACGGTTTGCTCAACTTTTAGTCTTAAGTGGTCCGTGTCCATACCGAGAAAATTTCTGGGTAGATGAAGGTGTTCACATATGTTGCAGTAAAAAGCATATGGTGAACAGGGGTCCAGATTGATTTAGAAATCAAGGTGCTCTTCTGTGCCTAGGAAATCACAGTCCTTGATTTAAAGGCTTGTGTTGATAATAGTTTGACGTACAGAAGGTAGAAGATGTGCTGGGAGTTGGGCCGGGAGGTGATGGTTTGCAGTTCTGAACCAGCTGTCATCTCATGGACGGAGGGCATGTGCTTATTAACGTGCTGCCGCCACCCACATGCCCGGACAGGTCGTTCCCTTGCACAGAGGGAGAACATCCCCGCGCTTGGCGGCGCCAGGCTGAGCGCGTCCCGGCAGGGCACTCATGCTGTGCTCAGCCGCCTGACGTGACATTTCCCTCGCTCAGGCTCCCGGTTTCAGACTGCCCAGACCCCGCGCTCATTCCAGCGCTTTTGCTCATTCCAGCGCTTGTTCCAGCGCTTTGCTCAGTACGGAACTGCTGCAGCGAGCGCCTGTGGGAGCTCTCCTGCTTTGGTGCCTTCGTGCTCTTGTAGCCCAAGCGCTAGCTCAGGCTCTGCGTGTGGTAGCTCTGCTTATAATAGTATTACTGTGCACTTTTCATTTTGAAATCTGTATCACTGCTAAAAATAAGCAAGCATCTTGGGCGGGGGATAGTCTTAAATGCAAAGTGATTATTCTTAAGGAAGTTTGGTTGGTTTTGTGGAAGCTGTTGAGCTTGCCTAGTTTAATGCTGGCATTTGCGTGTGCCTCATGACCGCGCACGATGTAAAGAATGGTGCTCACTGAAAGCAGTTGCCTGGCCTATCTTGCCAACGAGTTATCACTACGCCCGAGTCTCTTTGTTTTGCAGCTCTTATCCCTTTTAGTCACCCTTCCTTGGAAATACAGATAATACAAGAACTATTTACACTTATAAACTGTATTTGCTGCATTTATAATACTTCATGGACAGATTATCTTATTCTTACTGATTTTTAGCATGCTGGATTCCCCAAGTAGAACCAACTGACAGAAGGAAATGGAGGAGTTGGATGCAGTGCAGTTAGGGAAGGGTTCCCATCTCTTTCCTCTCTGCAAATAAGACACTTTCCCCATATCCTAGCCTGCAGCTTTCAAAAAATGGAAAATTTACCTTCCTTTTTAAGAGCTAAGCATTACTAGAAAGCCATGCTCTAAAAGAGCAAAGCAACCCCTTCTCTTCCGGAGGGGATCTCAGTGAGGAAAAGCTCTGCGCAGCCCCACTGCGCCCGGTGCTCCCGTCCTGCCGCGGCCCCTTCCTCGCGGCCTCGGGGCCTGCACAGTGGCGGCTCTGCAGCGCGGGCACCCCCGCGAATGCGGCCAGCGACCGTGTCGCCCCAGCGCGTGGGGTCCACGCCGAGCGCCACGGGAGCGGGCGGCCGTGCGTCTGCCAGGAGGACCTGCGCTGTCCTCTCACAGATTGCCTTGCAGGGCTGGAGAAGTTGATTTAATGGCATTTTGCAACAAGGTTTCCATAGATACCAGTCTCTCGGGGGAGCGCTTGGAGAATGGTATTTGAGCACCGGGTGAATCGAGATGGTGGCGCACGCCGCTGTGTGCGGGTGCCCCACAGCTCGCCTCGCCCCGAGACCCCCTCACAGGGAGTCTCCAAAGGACTGGCAGACATGGAGCGGGACCCGTGTGGGCACGAGAGTGGCAGATTGATCTAGCAAAAGGATCCAAGGCCTTCGGGGGGAGAATTCCGAGCTTTTAAAGATCATTGCCTACATGTAACCTGTTCCCTCCTCTCTGCGGAGAACCAGCAGCAACTTGTGGGATTTCAGCTCCAGCTGGGATTGCAGACACTACCCTTTTCCTTTTTCTCAATACACTTTGCAGTAAGGCATTTCAATAATGGCAAACTCCTCATTGCTATTGAGACCTAAGTCAAGGCACCCAGTATTAAATACTGTATTTTGGCACTGGTGCAGCTTTGCTTTGGTCCTTGCCCTGCCCGTTTCAGCCGTGGGTGTGGGCTCTGGCACGAGAGGGCCGTTACGGACAGAGCGGTTGGGAGGACGGAGGCGGGAGAAGGGAAGCTCGGTCAGGCCGAGTTAACCTGCCCTTTATCAGAGGCGTTTGGGCACGTCTGCCCAGTTAAAAATTAACCTTAGATGAACTATAGCAGCCTTACACCCTGCTGAGAAAGCAGGGGCTGCCTGCAG